GCAGCTCTTGTACCAAAGTTTGTTATATCGAGATAACGAATGAATAAGTCGTTATCACGAGATAATAGTGCATAAAAAAAAAAATCCATGGCCGTTCTCGGCTTCCGTAGAAAGTCACAAATGTACCTACAAGAATAAAAGAGTTTATTGTATTGTATCATATTGTACCTGTTGTTACCTACGGGCTCAAAAGTATCATAAACAGCTTCCTGTTGTCATTTTATAGAAGCCAGTGTTACAGAAAGTGAAGGGGTCGATAAAGTGTATCTTATCATATAGTAAACAACTTTCTGTTGTAATTGTTTACAAGCCAGTCACTTCCTCTAACTCTGTCGATATGCAGAGGAGGTGTGTCCTCCTCTCGGCTGGGTGAGGAGGTGTTGGGTGAGGAGGAGGTGACAGTAACACGCACATTAAAGCAGCAGCAGGGTGCAGAGTGAGTGGATGAGGATGTGTGTGTTTTCACTGTGTCAGCAGAGCCGCTGCAGCAGCTTTCACTTCAGCCTGTTCGCTGTCACTGCTAATTGTTTGTGTGTATGTGAATACAAAGTGTTTGTACACCCCCTCCCCTCCCTCCCTCTCCTCCCTCCCCCCTCTCCTTCCTTGTATAGAAACCAGGAGACTTGAGTCTTCAGATCCTTTCATGCTGTTACAACCTAATTACCACATCACGTCTCTTTGATGCTCTGATTGCATGTGCTTTTAGCTTCTGCAGGCTCTCTTTGTGTCTTCCTCTCATCGTCTCTCCAGGTAACTCCGGGAGAGAAAGAGCTGTGTGGTGTTTGCAGAGCTGTGCGAAAGATGCTAAGCTACGTGGCGTCACGCTGCGAGGCTGAGAACAAAGCGGCGTTCAGCAGGATTTCTGAATCAAAAGAGGACAAACAGGGACACAGAAACCCAGACTCTGAAGCTCTGTGCAGATATCCACCGCTACAGCGAGACCTCCACTCCTGTTTGTTGAGTTTGCATGAAAGTTAACGATAATACGGTATGTGTATGCAATGACATTATGAAGTCATCTGTGTGGTGAGTTTCAGGAACTGAACTGCAGTCTTTCCAAAAAGAACAATATGTATCATCTGAGAGAAATAAATAAAGATTTGAGCTCTAAAACAAACCCCGAGCTGTCGCCTGAGAGGACGGTCTCACAGTTTGAATGTGTCTCCTCCAGCACCGCGGGAAGAGTGCGGGGCAGCCGAGTCTGTGTTGGAGAAGCATTCGATGGTGGCAATAAAACAGATTCAAATGCGTGTGCGTGCAACTGTTTGGGGCAGAAAACGTTGAAGAAAATGGCGGGGGGATGTTTATCATGCAAATGGCTGAATAATGGATGCGCTCAGAGCCGATTTGTCTCCGATGCTAATTTGTCATCAGCCTTTTTGGGAGATCTATGAGTATAATAATGTACAGCAGCAAAACACTACACACACACACACACACACACACACACACACACAGTGCGACATGGCCTCGCTAATTGGTGTATTGTGGAAGTGCTGTTGCAATTAAGTAATGGGTAAACAGAGGAGTGTTGTTGTATATTTGCCTGCTGTGAATAAAACAGGAGTGTGTGTCTACAATTACTCATATGTGTCATTTACACACACACACACACACACACAGTAAACCTGATGGCACATTATGAAATCAAAACATAGAGCGTTATACGTCTCCCACACACACAGCAAGTGCAAATACTTCCTCCACATTCAGATCACCGACTGGAGAGACTGCAGTGAGCAGCTGTTTAAGGAAATTACTTTAAAAATGAAACTTTATATTCGTGAGGAACGATTTGCTTCTTTTAAAGGTTTTCAAAAGGAACCAGTGGGTTGAAAATGTGTCGTATACGTCTCCTCCAGTTTCTGTTTAACACTGATCAATCATTGCTGCGTCCAATCAAACCCTTTTCTCTCTTCTGATGCTGCCGGAGTGTTTCTGAGGGCCGATGTATAGACATCTATGGCCTCACTGAGTTCTGGACAAAGGACTACTTTATAGCTACATTAGCTAGTTAGCTAGTGTTTTGCTCTGCAGCTAGGTAACAAGCAAGATAATCTACAACAGTAATTAGCTAACTAGTTACATCTGAAAGCTAAGTTATCCAAATGCTAGCTAACTAGTTTAACTAATTTACTAATTTACTATTCAGTGATATATATTTCCTGGTTTTCCCTCTGACGTCCTCCGGCTGCTCAGCTTCAACTCTGTGATTTACTGCTGTTAGTTAGCTAGTTAGTTTAGCCGCACTGCCCTGGACACCCGGTACTGTGTGCTCAGAGCACCAGGGGAGGGCTGGTGTTTACTCTGGTAGCACAGGAGCTTTGGACTTCCAAGAGGAGGACGTTTTCAGGCCTTCCTACTTCTAGGTGGAGGTTTATTGTCCCAACATGTAGAACAAAGCAGAGGTTTTATCTTATTTATTCCAGTGGTTATTTATTGATCTCTCTTTGTAAGTCCTGATTTTTAGAGCCTGGACCTTTTTCCTTTATTATTATTATGTTTGTCTATTGAGTTGTTTGTTGTTTCTATATTTTTGTTAAGAGGAATGCCTTTCTTTACTAAAAAAACAAATCTAGCTACGGGTACAAATTAAGTAACCATGAACCCTGGGATAGACAGTGGTGAAGTAAGCAGGCTCTGCAGCCTCTATGGACAGAGCTAATGTCTGAGTCTCAGAGAGTTCAGAGGACGCTGATGGAGGAAGAAGAGAAAAGCAGAGAGTGACTGTGGGACTGGCTGTTAGTAGTGGGATAAAGAGAGCTTGGTAAAATAAAAGGCTGCAGACAGACGGCGAGCTGGTCTTCTTGCTGTTGGACTAGTCAATAATGTAAGCTGCTTACTATGTCTGCTGTTGTTAACATTGTTGATGTTTGGCTGTTAGCAAAGCTGTTGACTTGCTAGTTTTTGATCATAAGTAATTTGATCAGAACAATGTACAGCTGTCCATACCACAGTGAGACTGAACCAGAACCAGATCTTACAGATATTAGTTTGAAAGTAATCCCATTATGGGACGTGGAGTTCACCTGATATCACCCCGATGCCGTCTTCACAGTCATAATCTGAAAACTCACTGTCACTGATCCTCTGAGACCCTGCACAGATAGAGAGGGAGGGAGGGAGGGAGGAAGGGAGGAAGGGAGGATGTTTAAGCCTGTAAGCAGCTCCACTTTAATCCTCTACAGGACGGTCAACTAATCTGACAGAAACAGAAACAGAACAGAGAAACACATGAACACTAAAGGACAGCTTTTCAGTCTGATCCAAACCATCCTAAAACCTTTTTGAGATCCTTGAAAACACCTTGAAGACTACCGGTTCCCCTTTACCACCTCTAGAATCCTCTCAGGAGTCGTGGAGTTCCTTAAAGATTGTTAAAATGGTACCAACAACTTTGGAACCCCTGAAAGGATTCCTAAAACCCTTATTAAGACTACCGAGACCATCTGAGTAGAGCTGTTCCTATACCTGAAGTTTTTGTATCGGCTGATACCGAGTATCAATCCAATAAAAGTACGTTATATGGTATAATATTGTTTAACAAGTGTATACTATTCATCCTGTATGATTGCTGTAGCTGTACGTCCTGGCTCAGATTAAACCCTGTCAGAGTCAGAGTAGGGTGGGTCATGACTTCTGCTGCTGGGATGTAGCAGGGTTCTGTTTGAGGATAATAAATTCTGTGTTATCGGATCAGTGCACAGACCCCTGTACTCACCAATATCCAATACCACATTTTAGGCAGCATCAGAAGAATTCCCAACACTTGTATTGTGTCAGAACAACTCTACATCTGAGTAATAGATGAGATCCTATAAACCTCTCAAAGATCCCGCCTTAGAAGCCTTAGAACCCCATAGAGGAATCCCAGAATGTTCTTGATGATTCTTGAGCAGTCTAAATATCACTGAGCCATGGATCCGCAGACCCTCCACACTCATTTCTAGAATTTTAACAAGGACCTGTGAAACTATCAATAGGTCTTGGGATCCTCCATGAAGGACTTCTGAGACTTGCTTAAAGACATATAAATCCTTCTGGAGGACTCTGGGCCCCCCTACAACTAGAACTTCTAGAACCTTTTAAGAATAATAAGAGTTGAAGTTGGAATTGCACCAATCACCTTCAATACATTTGCAATTATTCCTAGAACCTATCCAAACCCTCTAAATGATCCCTGACATCTCCTCAACTTCTCAAAGACCTTCAGGGCCTGAAGGCTAGTGGAATCCTAGAACCTCTTGTGGATTCTTCACATTAGAGACCCCCACCAAGGACATCACCTCCACCTAAATCTGTAGAATTCCCTCAAGAAGTGATGAAAAAGAATTCCGGGGATTCCCACCAAGGACCTCTGCGACCCGCTCTTAAAGAACCCTAAAACTGCAACAACCTTTAAACGACCACGGAGACAGCAAGAAATATTTGAGGAGTGCTAGAACCATAAGACCCTCAAACACCATTAAGCATCTGAAGGGATTTTTAGAAGAACTGCTGGGAACCCTGTAAGACATCCTTGAAGACAACTGCAAGCCTCTTGAGAAACCCAAGAACCTATTTGAGGATTCTCAAGGACTCTTTTTGCATGATACTACTTATGTGTAGTATATGTGTCTGTTACTGATTCCAGCTGTCAGTTTTACTTTACTATGAACTAAGTTAGCATAGCCCTGATCAACCAAACTCCATTCAGAAAACAAGCATTTTAAAGGTTGTTTGCTCATCATCTTGCAGACAGACCGACTTTTACAAATTGCCATCATGATGTTATTATTTCAGCATCTTTCTGATCCATTTATTGACATTAAATCACAGAAACATCTGATTATTTTACTTTCATATAGTGATACTAAAGAACCTTTTAAATGTGTATATGTGTGTAAGTCTCCTAAAGCCTCCTGGAACCTCTGAGGAACCTGATATAAAACAGATGTTTATTAAAACCGTCTGCAGATATAAAACAGCAACAGATGGGAGATAGCTACACACACACACACACACACACACACACACACACACACACACAGTCATTATTACCTGAGTTACAATAAGGACCTTTGTCTGGCAAAGCATCACAGGAGAAAAGTAAAACAAAATCAACAAAAGACGAAGAAGGCAGAATAAATTCAAAACAAGATGATGACGGCAACCAGACTGTTGTATGTGTGTTATCAGTGTGTGTGTGTCTCACTCTGCAGCCTCCTCCCACCCGGAGGGTCCTCAGGCTGCAGTCCTCTCCGCTGCAGGTAGGGGGAGGCGTTGGGCAGCGGCAGAGAGGAAACATCATGGAGCTGCAGTTTGTACCAGTGAGGCTGATCGTCCAACAGAGCCGAGTCCAACTCTATCAACACCTACAGACAGACAGACAGAAACAGAGACAAAGACAGAGACAGAGACAGACAGGCAGAGACCGACAGACAGACAGACAGAGACAGAGAGAGACAGACAGACAGGCATACAGGCAGAGATAGACAGAGACAGACAGAGACAGACATAGACAGACATAGACAGACAGACAGATACAGATACAGAGACAGAGAGGGACAGACAGACAGAGACAGACAGAGACAGGCAGAGATAGGCAGAGACAGACAAAGACGGCAGACAGACAGACAGACAGACAGACAGACAGTTTATTTACAGCCCTATATCTGAGGGAACACAAACACTAGAGGTGTCAATGAAGCCTTGTCACACATTTGTTATTGTTGTTGAGATTTTGCTTAGTTTACCCAACTATTTAATGTCAAAATGGCCGCTGTGAAAAATGACTGTAGGTTTCTATTAGTAGAAATTGGGAGTAAAAATGTTCTAGTTGTAGACGGTTTGACTTCCTTCTATGTGTTCTGTGTTCTTTGGGTGTTCTGACCTCTCCCAGGAACTGGCTCTCCTCCTCTCGGACTCGGGCCTGATCCCAGACCGTCAGCTCCAACATCCGTTCTCTGAACTCCCGCCGATGTACCGGAGAGTACATGAAAGTCTGGTTCCACCGAGGTTCTACCGACTTCTTCACAGTCTTTGTTCTCCGCTTACTCTTATCACTGTGAGACAATGACAGAACATAAACCAGACCAAAGGTTCTACAGGTTCTACAACAGAACCTCACAGATCAGAAAACACAGACAGACTAACATAAACCAACAAACGTTCTAATCATCACCTAGAACCTAAATGGTTTGGCTGTTACCTTCTGTCTGGCAGGAAGTAGATCTTGACGTACGGATTCCTTGGCCTCCCGTCGTCTCGGACAGGAAGTTCTTTGGCTCCAAGAACAGTGACTATCAGCTGATGACCGACTTTATCGTACCACAGCTTCACCTGTAAACAACAAAGTAACCCAAGACAACAGTAGTTGTCCCTGTGGAACCCCAAAGATTTATAGAAAAAGCTCCCTTGGGAGAGGCAGTACCCAATACCAGAGCATAACGGAACAAACGTAGAATCCTGAATAATAGTAAATAATAGTTAGGGCTGGCTCAGGTGAGTCCTGAACCATCCCTTAGTTATGCTGCTATAGGCCTAGACTATCAGGGGATTTCCCATGATGCAGCTGCAGGCTGCCTCTCCTCTGCTCTTTTCGTGGGTCTCTCCCCTGGTCTCTCTCTCGTGGTCTCTCTCCCTTTCTCCTCTGCGTCTCTCTCTCCTCTCTTCTCTCTCTCTCTCTCTCAGCAACCTCTCAGAACCAGAAGAACAACAAGAATAGTTGCTCAGTAGTTGAGCAGCAGAGCTCTGTGGAACAGAAGGAGAACCCTGTTCCACTTCATACTTGTACTCCTTTGGAATTTGCCCATTGTGGGACAAATAAAGGAATATCTATCTATCTACTCCACTATGTTACTTGTTGTGTGGGAATAGCTGGTGGGTGGGGCAACAGGAAACTAGGAACTACAAACAGAACAAGTATAGGTGGAACCAACAGATGTCTCACTCTTCTCTACGTCTACAGTTACCTGGATTCTGGGAACCAGAGGACGCCTGTTAACAGTCTGAAACACACACACACATCACCATGGAAACAGAGGTTACTGACTGATTGGCTTTGGGGTGTGGCAGTGCAGTGCATGCTGCGTAAACTTACAGAGACCTGTCCAGACAGAACAGTAGGACTCATGGGGGATGTGACGGAGATGGACGGACCGACTTTCTGAGAGTCGAAGGAACTGGAACCTGAACACAGAACGTAGAGAATACGTCATTTATAGAAAACAGGGTTTAACTTCCTGTCACACTGGAACCGTCAGTGTGGACAGTGTGGATGGAGAAAACAAAGTCCTGGACACAGCCCTCCTACATTCAGACTGTCTCTCTGTGATGGTTTTGTTGTGTAAAAAACTCACTGGAGTCCAGTTGGACGTGGGTACTGTCTGCCACTCTGGAAACATCTCTGAGGAACAAAATTTACAAACAACAATCAGCAGAACGTTCTAACAGAACTTCAGGTTCTCTGTGGATCAAAAGCTTGTGACTTTAATCAATGTAAAGATAAATACATCTATAATATATGTATGTCTACCCGATTGGGCGGCACACCACCAGCTCCACCTGGGGTTCTGGTTTGGACTCTAGGATGATGTTGTAAACCTCATTGAACGTGGCTCCCTGGAGAACCCGACCGTTCCATTCCAGAACCTGATCACCTGAGGGAAGAGACTGAATCTGTGAGACATCTAACATCTAATTGGGACAATATCAAACAGAACAGTATATAATTTGAACTCTCTGGAACATAGGTTAGCTTAGCACAAAGACTGAAGTTATGATCAACCTGCCTGGTTGCAGACTGAGCAGGTCTCTTGTCTTCCTGGTGCACTCTCATTCTCTTCCCTTCCTGGAATTTACTAACCCTAACTGTGTGATAAAACCGTCCCTTAAATTCTGGACTAAAATAAGACAGCATTTTCGGTGCCTTAATATCATACATCTATAACTATATGTCTAAATATATCCATAGATTTTCTGAAATCGCTTGGGAGGAGGACTTGGGCATTGGCTCAACTGATGAGCAATGGATGGAGGAGATAGGTGGGTGTGCACTCAGTGTCTATATGTACCAGGAAAGGTCTTATATCGTCATCTGTCAAAGATCTGTTTTTAAATTTCTGATATCTTGGGACAGGAGGTGGAACCGGACCTGGTGATGGCTGTGTTTGGAGTGCTGGAGAAGGACACTTCGACCGTGGTTAAGTTCATAAACCTTTTAGCTCCCAGATTAATACTATTGAACTGGAAATAGGCACAACCTCCCACTCACACCATGTTAATCAAAGACATCATAAAACATCCTCAAACTATAAAAACTGCGTTATCTCACAGGTACCACTGGAGGAGGAGCTCCATAAAACGGGTCAACCCTTCACTGACTGTAGAGGCTGGGCCATAAAAACCCTCTACCACAATAACTAGAATATTATGTGAGATCAATGTTTATATTATATGTACTGTACAGCTTCTATTATACACGATATTTCATTTTGTCCACGGTCAGGTGTGTTTGTTGACCTGGTCTCAGGTGTGTTTGTTTACCTGGTCTCAGGTGTCCCACAGTGTCAGCCAGACTTCCTCTCTTCACTTTAGTGATGAATGCACACAGACGACCGGATTCCGTCATCTTTCCCCCAACAACCTGAAAACATAATGCCCATCTGAAAAGGTGATCGGCTGCAATCTGCCATCCCTCCAGGACCTGTACGCCTCTAGGACCAGGAAGCGTGCAGGTAAGATTGTGGCTGACCCTCGACCGGTCCACTAATCTCTTTGAGATACTCTCCCATTCTGGCGCAGGA